ATAGTGAATATTAACGTGATATAATCCGTGTTTGTAACGGATGTTTTCCAATCCGTGTATTGTTTGCACCAAGAAAGCAACAAGTTGCCTAGTGCACCTCCCACCATGGCCAAGTGCTCCTCCCACCAAGCAAGTGTTCATTCCACCATGTAAGTGCTTCCTCCATGATATCCTAATGCTTGTTCCACCATGGAGGGGGAGGATTTCTCTCACATGACTGCTATAAATAGAGCAGAAGTTGTAGAGAAAGAAGAACACACCGGAAAAAAACACTCGAAACACTCAGTATACAATTGATATACACTCTGTATATAATTGATATACACTCTGTATACACTCAAACTACACTCTGTATACACTAAAACTACACTCTGTATACACTGTGTATACACTGGAAAAACGAATTGCAATCTGATATCCTCTTCAGTAAGAATTCAACATCGGCTATACATTGCATTCCTTCCTCTTAGAATTTTCATTTGACTTCTGAGTTCTCCTCCCTTGTTCTGCATTATTTTAAAACTACAAACAAAACAACTGTAAGTGTGATTTGCTGCCGAACTTTGCGTTCGCTGAAATACTGAGGTTTGAAGTACCGCTACATCAGTGTGTAATTCGTTCTATCCTGAGAGGAAATAATCCATAACCTTGGGTACTAGGAGGGGATTAAATTCCTTAAGGAAACACTGTGAATTCAGTGGGCTCGAATTAATTTTTGTTTCACTTATATCATTTATATTTACGTATGTTACTGCTGTAGATAGCTGATAAAGAGGATAATATACATCTAGGAGTGGAAAAGTTAAAACTTGATCTTCCATCATTCCATATTTATACCAGATAAGAAGTACTATACAGGAAAAACAACAAGAAGTAACATCCTCTACCATTTTGTTAGCATTTCCAGCCTCTGCAATGAGACCAAATAGAGTCCTCAGGCAGTCCTTCCTATTCTCCTCGCGATGTTCAACTCTGAGGAAAAAGAAACATTTTATTCCCGGTAAGCTTCACAAACTTCAAATGCGTGTATAAAGGAGCACCAATAAGCAGCAGTCAAATAATTCCTAACTAATTGTTTCAACAGGTAGTTAAATAATAAAACTCAGTTAGAAGCTAAGCCTAAACATACAGTAACAGCAACCCCGTAACAAGATCAGACACTAGTAATTTAGATGACCCACAATGTGACCTTACCTTTCACTAGTTATTGTAAGCTCGTCTCTCCCAGGATGGTAGCGGTTTCCAACCAACTCTCTTAAGCGACCAAATTGATGCTTTGACAGACCCAACTCTTTCACCGTAACAGCCAATTTGACTTTCCTGTTTTTTGGATGCCATGCATCACCACCAGGAGCAAAGACCACCCTTGTTTGCCATCTAACAACCGGCCCTTCACCTGGCGGGTCATCCAAATTCTTGTTCTTATCTGGCAACATATTCTCATCAAACTGTGGAGCATCCTTCTCCATCAGTTTTGCGCGCTCCACGACCACCCCATCCTCAAACTCCTTGAACAATGCATAGCCTTCTTCAGGAGTAATCTCACCTTTTTCAACCCTTTCACCTATCTCATCAAANGATGAGATCGATATTGATGATAGTGACGATATTGATGATAGTGACAATCTTGATGCTAGTGACGATATCGATCGTGACCTTGATACGGAGCTGAAACTGCTAACTAGGATGAATGGGCTAACTATGGATATGATGCCGGAAATAGACCGATTTTATATCACCCTTCAATTCGAATTAGCAAAAGCAATGTCTCCTTGCATAATATGGATTCCAAACATTCATGATCTGGATGTGAATGAGTCGAATGACTTAGCCCTCGGTCTATTAGTGAACCATCTCTCCAGGGATTGTGAAAGATGTTCTACTAGAAATATTCTTGTTATTGCTTCGACTCATATTCCCCAAAAAGTGGATCCCGCTCTAATAGCTCCGAATAAATTAAATACGTGCATTAAGATACGAAGGCTTCTTCTTCCACAACAACGAAAGCACTTTTTCACTCTTTCATATACTAGGGGATTTCACTTGGAAAAGAAAATGTTCCATACTAACGGATTCGGGTCCATAACCATGGGTTCCAATGCACGAGATCTTGTAGCACTTACCAATGAGGTCCTATCGATTAGTATTACACAGAAGAAATCAATTATAGACACTAATACAATTAGATCCGCTCTTCATAGACAAACTTGGGATTTGCGATCCCAGGTAAGATCGGTTCAGGATCATGGGATCCTTTTCTATCAGATAGGAAGGGCTGTAGCACAAAATGTACTTCTAAGTAATTGCCCCATAGATCCTATATCTATCTATATGAAGAAGAAATCATGTAACGAAGGGGATTCTTATTTGTACAAATGGTACTTCGAGCTTGGAACGAGCATGAAGAGATTAACGATACTTCTTTATCTTTTGAGTTGTTCTGCCGGATCGGTCGCTCAAGATCTTTGGTCTTTATCCGGACCCGATGAAAAAAATGGGATCACTTCTTATGGACTCGTTGAGAATGATTCTGATCTAGTTCATGGCCTATTAGAAGTAGAAGGCGCTCTGGTGGGATCTTCACGGACAGAAAAAGATTGCAGTCAGTTTGATAATGATCGAGTGACATTGCTTCTTCGGCCCGAACCGAGGAATCCCTTAGATATGATGCAAAACGGCTCTTGTTCTATCCTTGATCAGAGATTTCTCTATGAAAAATATGAAATAATGACTGGACCTTGAATTAGATTGGAGAGCCCGGACCCGCAGGAGGATTTATTCAATCACATAGTTTGGGCTCCTAGAATATGGCGCCCTTGGGGCTTTCTATTTGATTGTATCGAAAGGCCCAATGAATTGGGATTTCCCTATTGGTCCAGGTCATTTCGGGGGGTTTTTTCGGAGGGTTTTTCCGGTAAAATCTTCGTAAAAAAAACTTATAAATTATGCTCAAAATATTTCTTTAGTCCTAGCAAGATACAAATATATAAAATATTTTTCAAGAAAATAATACAAAATATGAGATATGTCATGGCATTATCCTAAAATATTCAACAATATAACAAAGACAATAAAATTATATAATATAAATATTGCTAATTAAAAAGCCATAATAAACATAAACATAATCTAAGAGTACTAAGTCATGCTAAAATAAGTATATTAATAAGGGAGTATTAAATACATGACTAAACACTAAAGAAAAAATAAAAATAGGTAATGCATTTTTATCTAAATTATTGCAAAACAAAAAATAGATATTCAATACATTCCCCTTCGTAGTATTAAATTAAATATCTTTTGTTAGCATTAATATTGATTTAATTTTGGTTTGGGCTTTTGTTAGCACTATTTAATTTACTAATGTTAATGGTTATAAAACTTATTGGAACATTCAAAAGTTCTAAGTCCAACCTTGAAATAATACCTCAAAAAATAAAATTATGAAATCTTTTAAGAAATATTTATAAATTACATCACAATAAGTATATTTATATATTACATATATCTAAAATTTCTATATATGTAATGTCGGGTTGGTTTGGTTTCGGTTTGACTTTCTTTAGTTAAAACCAAACCAAACCAATTATGGTCGGGGTATTTTCCGACACCAAACCAAATCAAACCAACCCATAGTCGGGTTTTTTTTCTCGGTTTGACTCGGATTATCGAATTGGTACGGTTTGTCGGTTTGCTTTGTACACCCCTAATACTACATGCATCATAGACCAAAAACTAATTTCGTCCATACTTTTTTCAGCGAGGAAATTAACCCCACAACCCCATTTTCTCACATTTCAAAAATTACCGTTGTCCAACGTCTTACAGTAACCTTATCATGGTTGCTACTCTCTATGCAATGTGTTCTGCTTTTTTCACTCTACAACTCATGACACACTACATGGCATTAACAGACATGTATGTCTGGGCTCAATGTGTAATTTCCTATTCTGAATTTGTATGCTAGGCTGTCAGCAAACAATCAATGCACGCAAGATTGAATTAGGTTGATAAGTCGCCCGATAAGAGCTAAACCAATACCAATCCACCCGATATTTTATCGGGTGGCTAGCGAATTACTACATTTAAAAGTCAATAACCGATAAGCCAAACCGTTAAGAGTAAATAACCGCCCAATTCGCCTGATAAGCATCCCTAAATATTGCAGTGTTGTAGTTAAGATAGTTAGCAGAGTGTGATGCTTGACTATAGTTATGTAATGGTTTACTTTGGTGATTAATACAATTCAAAAAAAAAATTGGCATTTATTTATGTCACGACCCAAAAATCCATCCGAAGGAGTCGTGATGGTACCTAGTCTCTAAACTAGGTAAGCCTAACATTAACTGAGATAACATTTATATTTGCTAACTTTAATTTAAATAACTCTTAACAATTTACAATTCCCAAAACCGGTGGTACAAGTCACAAGCATTTCTAAGAGTAATTATACAAAATAAATACATCACTGCTCCGAAACAAAAGGAACAAATGAAAATAGGTACAATTGAAGGTGACTCCGAGGCCTGTGAACGCTATAGCAGGTTTACCTTGAGTCTCCACTGCAACGACCCGCATAGCTACTACCGATCAAATACCTGGATCTGTACACAAAAATGTACAGAAGTATAGTATGAGCACACCACGGTAGTGCCCAGTAAGTATCAAGACTAACCTCAGTGGGGTAGTGACGAGGAACAGTCCAGACACCTACTGGTCAAATAAATTGAACATGATTTGATAATAAACTATCAACCTAGAAATGACATAGTAATATCAACAGCAGGGAAAGAACAAACTACAATCAGTAGAAACAATAAAGAGAAACACGGGTGAAAACGAAAGATAACCAAATAAATTAACACCAACATAGCTAGAACACAGACAAGTAAAAATGTACTCAAACAAGGAAGGCGATGCCAGCTCAATAAATCATATCATTTTCGATGCACAATTTTCAGCCATTTCAAACTCGATGTCTCATATCATAACCTCAATTACCAAACTTTTAGCACAATCTGGCACCTTGTGCCCACATATTTCTATCTCACTTTACACAACAACGTTATCATATTACTCAGTTCATAGGGTCCATAACTAAGATGTTCAAGGAGTCTGATTTACATAACATAAAGTAGAGTACAACTTCTAAACCAATTAGGAACTCATCAAGAAAAGATGAAGTTATTTCTAGAAATCATTTGAATAGAGAAAGTACCATTTCAATTAAAGTACAACATCGAATAAATTATTACCTTTAACAAGGAATTTAATAAATTAACTTAGTAGAAATTCTATTTTAAGTAAAATACAACCTCAGACGGTTTAAGAAAATTTAATTGAGTAACTAAATGAATTGAAGATGAAACAATTATTGAAATTTTAAAGTATTGAAAAATAAGTACATAAATACGCCGAAGTGTTGAAAACACTATGGGGTTCATTCACAAAGGATCACAACGGTAAATGAATCTCAACAGTTAAAACACTTGAATTGGTAACAACAAATAAGCATAGCAAACAGAAAATGCACGTCATCATCCTTCGTGCTTTTACTCTCGTTCTCACCATAAGAATCAATATTCACTTTTATTATTTCTTGTTGCAGGTGTGCAACCCGATCCCATTTCAAATATTACCGTGGTAGCGTGTCACCGATCCCATTTTATATATCACCGTGGCGGCGTGCCACCCGATCCCATTTCATATATCTTGTTGCAGGCGTGCAACCCGATCCCATTTCATATATCTTGCTGCAGGCGTGCAACCCGATCCCATTTCATATATCTTGCTGCAGGCGTTCAACCATCTCCCATTTCATGTATCTTGTTGCAGGCGTGCAACCCTCTCCCATTTCATATATCTTGTTGCAGGCGTGCAACTCGCTCCTATTTCATATATCTTGTTGCAAGCATGCAACCCGCTCCCATTTCAAATATTACTGTGGCGACGTGCCACCCGATCCCATTTACAAATCAACATCAATCATAAAATAATCACGGCAAGGGAACAAGAGTATAACAACAACATCCCGACAAGGGAGACAAGATCGTAAACAACAACATCCCGGCAAAGGAACAATAGTATAACAACAATATCATAGCAAGGGAAACAATATCATAAGCAATAACATCCGGGCAAGGGAACAATAGTATAACAACAATATCCCGGTAAGGAAAACAATATCATAAGCAATAACGTCCCGGCAAGGGAATCAGCAAGTACATAATAATGGTCACAGAAAAATCAAGAAGCACGATAACCTCAACAAAACAACAAATCATAATAAGTACGTGATAATTACACCGATAACAACAACAATTAGACATGTAATATATTTGCACGTAGTCATAGAGGAACTCACAATCAAGAAATATCAAAACAATAAGGAAGGCAATCACTTCAATTAAGGCAATTAAGGGTCAAGGTAACACGTAAGAATTAGAGGAAAGCTAGCAACGTCATATGGAGCATATAGAGGCAATTTAAGCAATTAGGAAACCCAATCATAACAGGATACATTCCACATAAGGACCTAAGAACCCTAGAGGCAAATTTCCCACAAATAAGTCCGAGCACACACTCGTCACCTCGCATGCATGGACTGCAATTAGCATAGAAGACTCAATTCCTAAGGGGAAGTCCCCTACACAAGGTTAGACAAGATACTTACCTCAAAAACGACAAACCGATACTCTAAAATGCACTTCTCGAGTGAAAAGACCTCTGGACGGCTCATATCTAACCAAAAACGACTTGAATGCATCTAACAATGTAATAGAAAATAATTCGAATTAACAAAACTATGATTCCTATACAATTTGCAAAAAGTCAACAAAAGTCAACTCCCCAGGCCCGCACCTCGGATCCCGGCAAAATTTACAAAAACCGAATACTCATTCCGATATGAGTTCATCTATAAATAAATTATCTAATTCCGATACCATTTGGTCATTCAAATCATCATTTTACATTTTTGAAAGATTTCACAATTTTCTCCAAAATTTCCTTTAGATTCTCATGAATTTGATGTTAAATCTATGATATAATCATAAAATATAGTTGGAAATTGATTAGAGACATTTACCCA